GATTCCCCCCGCTGCAGCGCCGCCTTATCCCGTAGGCACAGTGCCTAGGGCCCACGCTGCTTTTAGGGGCCCACAAAAATGTTTCGATTTCTTTTAAAATCAGGAGAAGAAAAATGAACTTGGAGGGTGGAAGAAAATGTTTTAATTCTTTTCTCACATCAGAAAAAAAAAAGAAACTTGGAGGGCCCACGAAACTCTATTCCATTTTGCCCAAAACGGGGTGGGGGGGGATAAAATGTTGACGTATTTAAAGTTATATCAAAAATATTTGTTAATATTTTTTGTTATGGAGGAAGGGGCCCACGAAGGCAAAAGTGTCTAGGGCCCACAAGAGTCATAATGCGGCCCTGCCCCCCACGGCAGGCCTAGCAGGGGTTTTGCCCAGGGGGGAGCTATGGAGAGCTGGAGCCAACTCCCCCAGAGCCAGCACTGTCCTTTGGTTTTATGGGGCCCGGGGCAGGACACTTAACCTCCCCCCCACACACACACACACTCTTCCAGGAGTTGGGGAAGGTTTTTGGGGCTGGGGGGTGCTGACCCACAGAAAACTCAGAGAGTGAGAAGCAGCAAAATCCAACCCTTCCCTCCCCACTGATGAGACCCCCCTGCTGAGAAGTAGAAAGACCCTCCCCGTGTTCCCCTCTCACACAGCAGAGTCTGGGGCAGAGCCAAAAATGAGGGGTTCAGTGTGTGGGAAGGGACTGCCAGGAAGTGAGTTTGGGGGGGTCTGGGCAGGCGGTAGGATGCAGGAGCCTGCTGGGGGTGGGAGGAAGGGTGCAGGTGCAGAGAAGGGATGCAGCAGCGGGCTGGGGTACTGGCTCCCCAATGCTAGGGGGAGGGAGAGCCTGTCACGTTACTGGATTTTGAGGGGAGCAGACATATCACTGCTGCACCCATTGGGGGGTGTTGGCCCCAAAAGTGGCACAAAGGGGAGGGCCATGTGAGGTGTCAAATAGAAGCCTACTTTCTTCTGATTCCATATATGCTATTCATGTGATTGTGTAATGTCGGTATGTGAAGTTAGAAGCATGTATTTTGTGTGGATACCAAATGTTTGTCTATATGTGGCTGAACTATGGGCAAAGCAGCTCAGCCTATGGACATGCTAACAAGCAAAGCTCTGGAACAATAGCCCTCCATAGGCCAAGGACACACCTCAAGAGTGGCGACTCATCCCAGGAAGGAGGGATAAAGGAACACAGGGATAGGCCACGGGCCAGGTGACCTGCTATAGCCAAGAAGAGACCAGGAAGGAGGGATAAATAGGCCATGCGGCTGACTCCATCTTGGTACTCAGCTCAGCACTTCATCCCAGAGGCAGCAGTGCAGGGATCGAAGAGCTGGAAAGAACTGTGAACCCATCCTGATCCTAGGATACGCAACAAGGACTTGTAAGCCAGCAGCTGTAACATCTCTGCTAGAGCCTGCATCGAGGACTGGGAGATTCAATGCATGTAATGTACTATCCTTTAACAACCTTACTCTCATGCTTTTCTTTATTGTAGTAATAAACCTTTAGCGGTTAGATGCTAAAGGATTGGCTCAGTGTGATTTGTGGGTAAGATCCAGAGGGTAAATTGACCAGGGATCTGTGGCTGGTTCTTGGAACTGGACAGAACTTGTTCGGGGTAGGTGGGATTGGGTTCTAAGACCCCCCAGTGGTGTATGAGGCCCGGGGCCATCTGGGGCACGGATATTGCTGGGGTGTCGGAGGGGTTTTGCTCGTGAGGCTTCAGGCAGGCAGCTGAAGTGCTCTGTGGGACTGGTTTGTGCCCTGTTTGGGAAGGTCACTAGTCTGGGGGCTGTAAGGAGCCCCAAATTTGAGCAATTCGCCCTGAGCGGACGCCCTCAGCTGTGCCCAGTCTTGGCCGGGTCTGTCACAGAGCCTTGAGCCTGGAGCACTGCATCCAGCCCCTGGGCCTTTGGTTCTCCACCCCTGCATATGCCAAAGGCAGCCTGGGGAGGGCGATTTTGCAGAGATGTGATTTTTTTTTTTAAAGCTTTGTTTAACATTTGCTTTAAAACTAATTTCATTTGGGTGTTGCTGATAATTAGAAAACCACAGCTCTAAAAAAAATCATCTACCCCTTTGGCTGTGGTCAGGCAGAGGGGCACCAGTTTAATAGTCCTGCATAGAGGCCCATAAATCCTAAGGGCAGCTCTGGACCCAGCCTGCATGCAGCCCTGCAACCCTAGCAGGTAGAGTACACAAGCTTAGACCACTCTTGGCAGAGCTCTTATACCAACCCCTAGCACTAAGGAGAGCTGCTTCCATCAACATCTCTGCCCCACTGCCCTGCCTCTTGGGGAGGTGGATTACCAGCACCCAGGGAAGCAGCCCACTTATCCAGGTAGGCTACGTCTAGACTGGCAGGCTGTGTCTACACTGGCCACTTATTCCGGAAAATCAGCCGCTTTTCCGGAATAACTTGCCAGCTGTCTACACTGACCCCTTGAATTTCCGGAAAAGCACTGACGATCTAATGTAAAATCATCAGCCGCTTTTCTGGAAATACTATGCTGCTCCCATTCGGACAAAAGTCCTTTCTCCAGAAAACTGTTCCAGAAAAGGGCCAGTGTAGACAGCACAGTAGTGTTTTCCGCAAAAAAGCCCCGATTGCGAAAATGACAATTGGGGCTTTTTTGCGGAAAAGCGCATCTAGATTGGCCACGGACGCTTTTCCGGAAAAAGTGCTTTCCGGAAAAGCATCCTGCCAATGTAGATGTGCTTTTTCCGGAAATACTTATAACGGAAAACTGTTCCGTTTTAAGCATTTCCGGAAAAGGGTGCCAGTGTAGACGTAGCCGCAAGGTTTAGCGCAAATTCTCTAAACGCAAGAGTTTTTGCGTTAGAGTATTTGCGCAAGAGAGCGTCTATACTGGCATGTGCCTTTGTGCAAAAGATTTGCTTTTGCGCAAAAGCATCCGTGCCAGTGTAGATGCTCTCTTGCGCAAGAAAGGTCTGATGGACATTTTAGCCATAGGGCTTTCTTGCGCAAGAAATTGATGTTACCTGTCTACACTGGCCTCTTGCGCAAGAACACTTGCGCAAGAGGACTTATCCCTGAGCAGGAGCGTCAGAGTATTTGCGCAAGAAGCACTGATTTCATACAGTAGAACGTCAGTGCTCTTGTGCAAATACTCGCGGCCAGTGTAGACAGGTGGCAAGATTTTGCGCAAAAGCAAATGCCAATGTAGACACAGCCGTAGTGTTTGCACTGAAGGCAGCTGCATGGGTGCAGTCTTTGAAGTGTAGACAAGCCCTCGCTGTTCTCATACGTTGATCCCCCTCCCCCGCCCCTTTCCTGCATGCTTTGGTAAGCAATGAAATAATTAATATGGTAATTTAAAGCATTGCCTTTGGAACGATCAATGGGTTGCAAGGGGCTCCGTGTTGTGAGACTGCAGAAAGGCATCACTGCATCAGCTCGCCGGTGGGGCTACGTTTTCAAGGCAATGAGAGCAGCCGGGAACTTCCATTTTAAAAACTAATAATAAATCTGGGCTCCTGGAGATCGAGGCAGCTTCAGAGCATCCACCTGGCCTTGACAGACTTCAAGGCTCCCGGTGGGCCTATGTGTGCATAAGTCAAATAAAGCACTGCATACGCTGTTGTAGTTATCTTCCTGAGGCTAAAGTAACCTTTACGCTAGTGCTGTATTTATTTGGGTCAAAGCAGAGTCAAGTTTCAGCACTGAGTTTTTTACCATTTGCCCTTCCTTTGAAGAGCTGAGCACAAGGGACTGTGGAACAGAAAGGAACAAACAAGCCAGTTGTCTTTTCCTTCCTTGACCCTTCAGATGATGTAGGCCAGCTGGTCAAACAGTGCACCAGCAGATTAGGCTGCAACCCACCAAGGCATTCTGGATTGCAAACTAATCAACAGCAGGAAATGCAGCAGGCAGAAGGGCAGAATTCAAGTGGGATTTTCTGTGAAAGCCTTTTTTTTTTTTTTTTTAAACCTTTCTGAATAATAGAGTCATGCATCAGGCACCCTCATTTCCTTCTTCCAGGATGGGGCTTTTTGTGTCCTTAATACCTTGCACATCATTACATGAAATATTAAAGTTCTCCCAGGACAATAGTTAAAGCAGGAGAGGGCAGAAGAGCATAAGGAGAAGCCAGCTTGGGAAAATAATTTTCCTTCCCCTGAAAAGGGATCAGCTTGCATTTAGCTGGAGAAGAGGTTTCACCTCCACCCTTTCACGTGTTCTAGAAACGCCCAGTAATCTCGCCCCAAATTCTCTTTTGCTTAGTGTACAAAACAGCAGCCTGGTTCTTATTTTTAAAAAGCTACAAGAATCATTTAATTTCCCCTCACCCAAGAACAGAAGATGCCCAGGGTGTAGAGATGTGAAGATGGCATAGAGAAAATACATAATGAAGTACTATGTGCTCCTTTTTGTACCACAAGAACTAAGGATCCCCAAATGGAATTAATAGGCTTCTGGCTTCAAACAAAAAGAAATATTTCTTCACACAACCTGTGGAACTCTGTGCCAGAGAATGTTGTGAAGACCATACTGTAGGGCTACGTCTAGATTACATCCCTTTTATGGAAAAGGGATGCAAATTAGACGTATCGCAATTGCTAATGAAGCAGGGATTTAAATCTCCCCCACTTCATTAGCATAAAAATGGCTGCCACTTTTTTCAGCACAGAGCTTTGCCGGAAAAAAGCACCAGTCTAGATGCGGATCTTTCGGAAAATAAAGCCTTTTCTGAAAGATCCCTTATCCCTTACTATGATAGCTATTTAGCCACAGTGGGCAGGGATGGTGTCCTTAGTCTCTGCAGGAAGCTAAGAATGAGCAATAGGGAATGGGATCACTCGATTCCCTGTTCTATTTATTCCCACAGGGTACCAAGCATTGGCCACTGTCAGAAAACAGAACACCGGGCTAGATGGACCTTACCCTGCTGCCATAACAGCCCTAACCTAAGGGAGAAGGGTTATGCTCAGTATGAATTCACCCCCATACCTTTAAAAACCGATTACAGAAAGGACATCCTCCTGGATTATGAACTCTGGACTTCATGGACTTTGTCCCAACAGCTCTACCTTCCAGCGGGTCTTAAAGATGTTCTGTGCACATCCAACCTCTTCTTGGGGGAAGCAGTTTGCTTTTCAAACAAGTCCAGCATCTCTGTCAGCAATCTGGCTAGGGCAAATCCTTGCACACCTGGCTGCAGGGAGGGGGCTGAGAGGGTACCTTCCAAAAAGTGTGTGAGATGTTGGTCGCTCTCAGACAGCTCAGTGAGCGAGGAAGACTATGGGTCTGACCCAGCCTGGGAATTTCTAGCTTCACACACCCCTGTAACTCAACTAATCTCAAGTGATTGAACTCCAGAGAATTGTGCCATGAGGGACTAGGCATTGCACAAAGCAACCTACGCTAGAGGCTGACATGGGGGGTGTTAGACCATAACTGTAGGATACTGGGGTGTTCCCCCCCCCCGGCTTTTTTCAGCAACTTTTGGTTGCAGTTTAGGGATGTTAAGATGCATTATTAGGGTAAATATGTAACCCCTGAAAATTTACAGTGAGGGAGGGGATTTCCAGGGAGGAACTTGCCTCCCTCTGCACTGCTGCTGCTAACAGGTCACACTGGGGGAGAGGGGAATGGCAGGGAGGAGAAGGGCTGCCTAGGAGCCAGCTCCTCACAAGCACTGGCTCTTATCTCCCCTCCCACCCACATTGCTGTATCTGATTCTGCAGGGGTGGAGGATAGGCACCCGATGTAATCCTGAATGTTACCCAGAAAGCCCAGGCCCAGTGTAAATGGTTAACCACTATCACATCCCTGGGGGGGGGCTAGGAAGACAACCCAGGCTTGCTGCCCTCTATCCTAAACACCCTAGAGAGAAGGCTCTCATGCTGGTTTCTGTACTCTCTCCCCCCTGCAATCATGATATTTATAATGGATTAGAACCCAGTGTTAGATACTAGCGATACCAAAATGCTATACCGCAGAACCACCCCCAAGACAGCATTGCTATTCCATTTCCACCCAGACCAGTGTTTCTCAGACTTTGAGACCACAACACACCAAACAATTTTTTTTTTTAATACAGAACACCTATGAAAATTTTCTTCAAAAAACCCAAATTATCAGACAAAACACAAAACAAAGAAGAGGTTGCAGCCCACCTACAAGTTGTTCACGGAACACCAGCGTTCCACGGCACAGTTTAAGAAGCACTGGTCCAGACATCAACAGCTCCCGGTGAACAAATTCACTTATGCAAGCTCAATGGATTTGGAGGATTGTCCACGTCTTCATCCAGTGATTCACAGTCTGTGATGTCTTCCTCTCGGGGTATATAGACATGGATCTCTGCTCTGGATTTTCTGATCTGGGGCAGCAAAGGCAGAGCCCCCCAGGCCAAGGGCAGGCAGGAGAGCCCACACACAAGCAAACTCTGTGCCCTAGCACCAGGAAAGTATTTCAGTGTTGCTGGCTGCATCTTTCTCTGGGCAGCTGCTTCTGCTGGGAGGTTGTTCTCATCAGGCCTAGATTTGCTGGGAGATGGCTTAACAGCTGGCTGTAGGGGACTGGAGAAGTGGATGTAGGCTTGTTGCCTCCTCAGCCCTCGAAGGGCTCCTGTCTTCTCCCTCAAGTTGGAATTGCTGCCTGCTTGTGTTCTGCCACCTGTGGAGCAGGCTAGCCCTGGAGGTCTTGGGACTGGTAACTTGCTATTCTTAAGGAGGCCTTGCAGAGCAGAACGTTCACTCTTGGTAAGGAAAGGTTTGCACCTGCTTCAAAAGACAAGCCCACAATCACCAGGGAGTTGCTCAGGAAAGACATAGAAGTGAGAGGCCTGATCTAACACCCATTTAAGGCCCAGCCCTCTACCAACTAGGATGGGGTGGGCAAAAATTTTTGCAAGGGGTCCACTCTCAGAAGAGGTGGGGCTGAGAACTAGCCTGCCCCGAGATCTCTTTGAATTAACAACCCAGCAAAGGGCCCCCAGCCCTGTTGCTACTGCATTACCTGGCAGCCGCTCAGGGTTGCAGCTTTTAAAGGGCTGGCGGCTCCCAGACCCTACCAGGGTAGGGCTGCAACCATAAGCCATATACATAGGATCCTGTTCCCTGAGCCACCACCCAGAGATTTGGTGGCATGGGCAGCAGGATATAAGTAGTAAGCCACCAGATGCAGTCCGTGGATGAGATCAAAGTATTAGGCAGGCCAGATGCAGCCCACAGACTCCTCTTGCCCCACGCTGCACTAGGTAGATTGGAGCCCATTTTCCTTTCACTGATGCTCTGCAAAGCCTGGAGCTGCAAACCACTTTGACCTTCTGCTGCTGGCACTTAGGAGCCAGCCCAGACCTGCTCACCCACCTAGGCTTGGTGGTGCTGACATGGGACATGCTTCCAGCCCTGTGAGTGTTCGAAAGGCCAGGATCTTTGCATAAACTACCTGCAGCTGGGGCCGGATTCCAACTGCTGCTGCACCCCTCCAATGCGCAGCCCTGCGCTCAGAGCACAAGGTGGAAATGAGGAACTGGTCTCTTGCTTCCTCCACAACAGTGATTGAGAAAAGTCAGGACAGTTTCCTTCTAGCACCAGGATGTGAAGTGATACAGCAGGTCAGGCAAAATTGGACATGGAACCCAGGCGTTCTGCCCCAACTCTGCCGCATGACAGTCCCTGAAATGGACTCTAGGGGAGGATGGAAATGGGGGTTGACATGTAAAATACAGCGACTCCTTCACTCTGCTACTGCAGCATGTCCAGGATGGGGTCTCATACCATAACCCCAATCCCAGGACAGGTGGTAGCACCGATGGTGAAGGCTTCATGTCTTGGGAGGTGTCATATCCTGGCATGAAGCTACTTTCTGTTCTGAGTGGGTCTCAGACAGTATTGAGCTGTTGCCAAAATTGAGTTGGCATCAGAACAAGAATCCATGTTGACACTGCTCGCCACAACAAAGGCCACATGCCATGGACCTGTACAGTTGAAACAGTGGAAACCAGCCAATGGGAACAGTAGGAGTGGTGCTTGCAAACAGTATCAACCCTGCTGTCCCCACCCCTTAAAGGGGAGGACAGACACGCTTACTAACAGTAGCCATCAGCTTTGAGCTATGTCAGGCCACAACACCATGAAGGCAACTTGCCTGGCCAGCCAAGAACTGCCTATTCTGGTGTCTCCTGGCCAGGACTAGAGCCTGCATCTCACCCCCCCCCCCGCAACCCTCCATTCTAGGTCTCAACCTCCTTCCAGAATCTGCACTCCCCTCTTCTATCCCTACCCCAGGTCAATTTCCCTCCTGCATCTAACTCCATTCCAAATCCTGCACCCCTTCCACCACTGTAATAAGGGAAGTGTGGCCCAAGACCACTTGCCCAAATTCCCACCTTTCAAAGTAGCCCCCCTGCAAAAACAGTCCTCCCCAGCCCACAACCGTGTGACCCCCCCCCCCCCCCCCCAATCCCAAACTGATCTCTACACAACCCCACTTGATTTGCTTTTTAGCTGGACTGTTAACTGTCTGATAAACTTTGCTCTAGTTCCAACCCATTTTCCTAGAACTGAAATTACACTTACTGATCTATAATTGCCAGGATCACCTCTGGTTTGGATCCTTTTTAGAAAGTCAGCTTTACATTGTCTACCCTGAAGTAGTCTCATACAGAAGCTGATTTAAGTATTGTTACATCTAACGAGTTACTAGCCCTGCCATGTCATGGCAATTACAATCCACAGCACAGAATTGTGCCCTGCACCAACTCCAGGGCAGAGAATTCTGGCATCACTATGTACTGGGATCACAGTAATGGTAATTCAAAACTTACAACATACTGCAGCTCTATTCAGAGTGGATAGAGATATCCCATTTGAGTGTAAAACAGCAGGGGCCTGGATGGTATGGCACGTGAATGTTAGACTTGAGCTGAGACAATGCTAAAGCCACATTCCTGCCTCTGAAGTGCATGACCTACAATTCCTCTCCTGACTGTGCAAGGTGGTTTGGAGGAAGAGTTGAGTTGAGATACTTTTAATTGAACATTCTAGATTCTAACATTGAGATGGCAAAAGTGGAAATCACACTGCCGGCTAATAAGCTAAGAAATCATTGTACAGGTTGAACCTCTCTAGTACAGCACCCTTGGGACCTGTCCAGTTCCAAATCAGAAAATTTTCCAGATCACAGGACATCAATGTTATCTAGCAGCATTACCAACACTTACACTAGGCTATTACAGGATATTATGGGGTAAATTAAGAGCTGAACAGCACAAGAGAGCCAGGACTGGGGATTAAACTGACCATGGGAAACATGGCCACACGATTGAAATGCAGACATCCAGCTAACTAAAATTATTCCAGACAATGGCTGTTTCCAGAGCAGCCTGTTCTGAACTTGAGAGGTTCAACCTGTAGTAGCGTATGTCTGCAGGAGATAGGAAGAGGAAAACCACAATCGTGTATTTGCCCACAGTAAGGCCTATTCTCCCCCTACCACATCTAATTCCTAAATTAATCAGACACAGTAAAGAGCTCACAAGTACTTATGTTATACCAAACATAGGCAGCAGAGGACTCACCTGCTTTCCAAGTGCAATTTCCAACTGCCCTGCTGCTGCTGAAGGCAAGAACATCTGTCAGGCAGCTGGGGCAATAAATCCATATACTTTGCATCAGAAAGAGCAGGATTCAAGGGGGAAGAGAGAGTCTGGTGAGGAGGGGGCCCTCTCCTTGCTTGCAAGTCCAGACCAAGTGGGCTGCTCAGCCCCAATGATATTTTTGGCACTGCTAAGTGCAACATGCGTTTGTGTTCATTCATTTCAGTAACTTCCAGGACTAGCTCTTGCCCCTGCCTATTGGGGATAGTTCTAAGCCTCTTTCTCGGAGCATCTGCCCCCTTCCACTTTAGTCTAGTGACATAAATAATTCAGTTGTTGAACTGTATGCAATATTCATGAGTGATGAGTAAAATGGGACCTAATTACCACCCAAACCTAAAAGGACATCGGCTTGTGTATGTAATTTGAGAACTCGCCTGCAATCTTGCCAGAAAATGGCTGTTTTACTCACACACTGCAACATTAGACATCCCTCTGCATTTGAAAGCCTCATTTTGTTCCATTTCTCAAACTACAAGGTCTTCTGAGATGTCAGGTAACTGAAATTCCCCTTTTCCTTAGGTGACTTTAGGGATTGCAACAATGAGCTTATTGAAAGGCAGAACAAAAGCCACTCAGCATTGCTATTGTGGGCCTGGGCTCCCCGTGTTTCTATGCCACTATACCTCACCATTGGCCTGCAGCTTTGAGTGACGAACTAAACTAGGGTTGTTAAGGATGACTGAGGCCCACAAAGGCCATGGAAACTCAAGGCCAGTTATGCCCCATACAGTTCCACTTGCTATAGCAGCACTATGAGAGGAAGGGTTGAAAACCAAAAGCTAAATCAGAAATTGCCATGATACTTCAAGCCCTCTTAACATACACATGGTGGATTATTCCTTGGTTTCAGAGGTTGCCAAGCAACTGGGCCAGATATGCCAAGACCTTAAGCTTTGCCAAGTTTGAGGCAACATAGCATTACCCCAAAAATGAAATGTAATTTTGTTGGTATTTAGAGGCCCCAAGATGTAGTTTACTGACTCATGTATAAATCCAGCACTGCCTAGAAGGGCCAGTATTAAGACTTGCTGGGACTCTGATCAGAATCTAACTAAAGCCTTGCTGTGTGGGGCTGAACCCTGGGGCTCCCAACCCTGACACATGGACCTAAAGAAAAGCCTGAGCCAACTTATCTTTGTAGGAATCCATGGGGCCCTAGGCTTGCCTCCCCATCAACACCATCCCTAGCTTTTTATGCAGAAAAGCAAGATTGAAGGGCTAAGAGGCCCTCAAACAAGAGACTCATTTGTCTGCTTACAAGGGATTTCTCAATAACTTCAATTATTTTTGCAGTATGCAAGACCTACTCAAACATTTGCATTAGGACCAGAGATCATAAAAAACTGAATTCATATAATTTGATCAGCACTGGTTTGGTTGTGGCAGCTTTATTGGTATGGATGTATTAGAATGAAAGACCAACCAATTCGAAAACATGATGAAGGGCTGCTACTAGGGTATCTGCAATCAGGAACACCAAGTTAGGATGGCACAAAATTACCAGAGACAGACCATCTGGTTTGGTTGGATATTCACTTTAAGGACCTTGACAGGTCACTCCACATGAAGATTCATCTGCAAGGTGACCTCCCCTCCCCTTTGTAATTTACTATCTCTACTTTTCTCTTAAAGCAGGGGTGGAGAACCTATGGCCCTGATTTCTGTGGGTCAGTGCCCCCCCCCCCCAACTCAAAAAAGAATCCCCACTCCTGAAGCAAAGAGTCAATAGCCTTTGGTGCCAGCCCTAAATCCTTATCCATATGCTGAAGCACTAAAGCATTACAACAGAATTGGAGAGCTGCAGGATTCATTGCTTGCTACACAACCAACTCTGTTTTACAGGAGGAGCTGGCTCAGCCATGAGTAAATGCAGCTTTAACATCACTGAACACTAAAGCAGTTGGACTGATTAAGAACTTGATCTCTGTTAAGGGAGTGTGTGGGAGAAAGATGCACTGTTTAGAACTTTGACTCAGGCTTCTAGTTTTGTAAGCACAAAAGGCAAGCTCCCATCCCCAAGGCATGCCTTTGCCTATTGCTTTCCGTGCTTCATCAAGGTCTCAGTACTGGAAATGCTTACACAAGCTCAAGAGTCTTCTGTACTTAGTCAAGTGTCTAATGCTTAGGGAAGGTTCACAGGTTCTCTCATGCTACACCTCATATTAGCAGTGATAGCTAAACAAAAATGTTCAACTATATTAACTTCTGGAGTAACAAGCTTATGAAAACAAATGTCATTTGTACAACTGAGTATTTTATTGAAAAAGAAAAAAAATTGCAGCTTAGTCCCTGGCTTCTGGACTTCAAACACTGCTTCCTCCTGTGAATGCAAAACACCAAGTTAGCCCCAAAAATCTGAGATGTGAGCAACTTCATGCATAGATCACTTGAAAACATACTGAATGAACACAAAACAATCATGCACCTGGCCACCAAACATGTTCCCAACGAAGTAAATAAGTGTTCAGAATACACCTAGAATCAAGTGAACAGTATAGAAACAGGGACATAGAAGCGGTTCTGAACTGAATTAGGTATCTTTTAGGCACCAACTCATAAGGACCTTCACAGCAATAACTTCAAATTTTAAGTGCTCATTTCTTCTGAAGTCAAGATGCATACAATCAACAGTACAAAAGTTAAGAAAATACTTAGCAAGTATCCCTTACGGCTGTGGTTTTAAAACACGATCTTAATGTTTTTAAATGTTTCAGAGTGAAGAGTGGTCTGGTGGGAGAAAGTTTTAGTTTAATTGCAGCTCTGCAAATTCCAATTTATGGCCCCCGCTTGCTACCCGCATATAAAACCGGTATATTTATTCACTTACCTTGCTGGGTGCTGTGAAGTTCAATTGTTTGTAAAAGGATTTGAAGATTAAAAGCAGAATCAATATATTTGTATCAAGTTTATTTTAGTTAGCTGTTTTATTCAAATGTTACGCCATCTGCCCAAAACCTTTCCGCCTAATGCACCATGAATCTCTTACGGTGCTTGAAATTAACCCCAGTTCCTTGTTTGTGTTTGAGCATCTGTATGCAGTGTTCATTGGGCAAGGTTTATTGATGCTGAAGAGCTGGAAAGCCTCAAATGGCTTATCTTTGTTCTAAAAAAGAAAAATTAAAAAGTTTTATCAACTCCATTCAAGAGACTTCTGATCTTAAGAATCTATATTAAAATCAGGTCACATTTTACACAGAAATGGATAAGTAGTTAGGGTCACTTCTTACAAATTCAGTATTTTAAGGTTATCTACTACTCACCCATTCACCTTGCAGCAGGCTTCTCCATATCACCTGACATCACATTCTGGATTGTGCTCAGGCTCTACTGCTATGAGAAAATAGGTAAGTTAAGGTCTCCATGAAATGATTTTATACCTGCTCAATATAAATCAGTTATTTGGTGATTCTCAGTTTGGCCATTCCCTTTATGAGGTGTATTATCTAGGCAAAGGAGGAGGAAGTTGGGAGTTTAAAAGCAGAACATGATCAAGCAAGAGTGACAGCTTGCACAACAATAACTAATTTGGAAGTGTAAAGAGCATGTTACTGTACAGCAGGGGTTCCCCAAAAGCTTATTCAGAGGGTGAACCGCATCAACAAGACTTGTTTGAGAATTACCCACTCCCCTATTCACTATCACAATTGGCTACCAAAGAAAACTATAGTAATTGCTTACATGAAAATGTAAGTTTAGCTTTAATGCTATTTAGCTACTGAAAAAACCACTAGTACTGTATTAATAGTTAAAGTGATTAATAGTTTAAGTTATTAGCCAGTGCTGCACACTACTGTACATAGTATCCTCTGCTTTCTGGATTCAAAAGCTTTGCAACAGTAATGGTGAGTACTGTACTGTATATTTATTCTTTCATTCTATGACTAAATTTATGTATTACAGTATGTACAATAGAAAGGGTTAAAAACACTACAATATATACTGTGTGAGTGTGAGTGTAAATAAAATAAATAAATAACCAGCTTATAGTACCTGATAGTCCAGCACCACCTAGGTCCCAAAGATTCTGGATTATCGGAAGTCTACTGTAGTACTATTCCAGTCCTTCAGACAAGTTTCAACTTTTAAAGTGAAAGATTGAGTTATACTCACTTCACATGGATGAGCACACTGGTTTCACGCTGCTTGCATCATCTTCACCTAAAGGGTAACAACTGAAGTTATTATAAGAAAAGTACATGAACGAAAGTTTCTGAAAACAAAAGTTCTAACCAATTACAAACTTCTAATGTTTAAAAGTAAAGGTTTAATTGATACATGGACTGATTAGTGAGGGAATTTACGAATTATTCCAAAATGCTAAGTGGAAATAGTATAAGGGGCAAAAGTAGGCTGGTCTACACACCTTTAAGAAAGTAAAGAATATGCAGGTGGTTGCGTGAAGTACTGCACCTAATCTAACCACCAAGCCATAACAGCTAGCTTCACCAGTCTGAGTACAATGAAGTTTGATTGCAGTCAGAGGTATACTATCCCTTATGTGAAGGTATATAAAACTGTCAAACTACACTAGTTTATTTTAACCATAGTTTGGCTTATCTGTAGTAATCCACATTCCATATGGATGAAGCAAAGTGTCCCTGAACACTAGCTGTGCCCAGCCCAAGAATCCTCCCAGTGCACTGCACATCAAAGGACGACACTAGAGTTTGTCATGTGCTTTTTATTACCTTTGTTCTATGTCGGATTCCACCCCCCTGCATATTAAGCCTTTCACTACAGCTATATTGAGGGAATGCTGCAAGGGGCTGAAGGTCATCTACTCATCAGCAGCTAGGGACAAGTCTATACAAAGCTCTGTGCACACTTAGTTGGAGGCAAAGCACACTGCCTTCACAATGCTACTTAGCCAGCCAAATGGATGAGAAATCCAAATTTAAGCTCAGCCCCACCTCTTATAATTCAGTGTCAACACCGTACTAAGCTGACAATAGAAAAATGTAGTATGCACATTATTTTCTATGCTGCAGCACCAAACACCATGCATAAGGGATACTATATCTTTGTGCATCTTTTCAGCATTCCAGATTATGCACTCATATAGCCACCACCCTCTTTCCCCAGTTAGCTCTTCAGTACTGGTGTTCAAAAACATTTATAGATGGGGTATTCACAGCCCACTGTGGGACTGCACAGTCAAATCCTAACTTGTCAATCATTATCTAGCAGCAATGACAGATGTGGGAGAAGGCCAATCCTCCCCTTTTTTCTTGTCCAGCAGGCTGCCATTTAAAACCCCACTAGCTGGTATGGAGAGAAATCAGAAACTGGTTGATTCCAGCATTGCTAGTAGTGGAAGCCAAGTAACAGTCCAAAACAGCACACTATTTATGCAATTTCTTCAACATGCTTAGCCTCAACATGTTACAAAAGCACAGGCCTTCCTGATCCTGTCACTGCAGCTGGCAATGATTAACAGACATGCAACCCCAATGCCACTGAAGTCCTAAGACTACTCACAGGCCTAAATATTTAGCTGTTCAGTCTTTTGCTATTGGGGAAACTGCAAGCAAGAGACACTTGGTATGCTTAATGTTACAGTAAAAGCCCCCATATGCTACACTGTGCTGTGCTCTCCGCTGACAGCACCGGCATCTGATCTAACAGGTACGCATATGTATTCTGGCACCACACTTCTGAGCTTCAGATAAACTTTTGGGAAAAGTATAATTCATAGTGAAAAAGAAAACCAAGATGAAACACAATGCAAGCACTTCAGTGTACTGTTATTTCTCACACCCACTTATTACAAGTTGTTTGCTTAAAATAGATAAGACTACATTTTTAAGAGACCTCCTGCACTAAACTGTTACTGCAGACAAATCACAGCTAGTATGAACCCCATTGTTTAGTCACAAATTGCTTGCTCCAATTGTCAAAACCCTTTTAACGTTTCAAGTATGCAGAAGGCAGATGTGTCCATATAACCCCTCCATGATATTCTTGAAGACGACACGTCATGTGTGTCTAGTGAATACTCACACAGGCAAAACTGAACAGATCTGACTGTTGGTTTAGAGACACCTAATAATCTAATTCTTGCCGTTTCACAGAAATATGCTGCCAATTTCACTGCTGAATTTTATTCACAGAAAACTTTAAAAGTCACTGGCAATAACTAAAAGAATGGTTACTGTCTGAGAGTTACGAAGTGCAGAAATTACTTTGGTTTTTCAAAAGAACATGAATACAAACAGCAGAGGCAAGCAAGCCTCTTACCTATTTTTTGTTAACTGCGTACCAATGAGTAAGATTCTCTTTGAAGATACAATACAAAAGTACAGTGTCCAAATTTGACAAAAATGTACACCAGAAACAAGAATGCAAAGTAAAACTTTGCATCTCAAGTAGAAAAAACCCTTGCAATACCTCTGTGAAAGATTTGATGCTTTACCAAGAACTAGATCGGGGATGAAATACGGAAACATGATGTCCAGACTCTGAAGTTACAGCTAACTAGCACAACAAAGCGGATAGGAGCAGAAGGTCACCACATTTATAAGTATGGAAACATTTAGGTATATAATCTTTTGAAACACCATAGCTGGTATTTCTAGCAGTGAGGAATTTAGAATAAGCACACACTCAAAGATCGATGAAAAATTATGCTACTTTGATCAGTATGTTCACTAAGATGAATATTTAAAGACAGGAATCCAGAGATTCCCAACATAGTCAGCTGCCTTTAACTGAACATGTGTCATGATCACATGTAAAACAAATGTATCTGAAGTTGATAAACCCTGAAAACTAATAATGGAGATAGCTGAAGGCAATTTATGACCTGAGAAGTACTTACACACCCAGCTTTACAGTCTTAAAGCTCACTACAGTGAGCTTTACATTTTTATCACCTAGTTCGCTGAAGGCTAGAGCCATGATTACCATTTTCTAAATAGCCAAGACTCTACAAAGGGATGCACTGCAGATGGGTTATTGTGTCACTACAGAAAGTTAATACAAACCAGTTTTTCTAGGTGCAAATAGCACCTAGCTGACCAGTTAAATTCTAAAAATCACATTCCCTCGTCCCCACAGAGCTCACCTACGAATAGCTTCATTACAATGTACTTAAGAAAATCCACATAAGACAAGTCATATATGTACATAGGAATCGGGTCTGAGATATTTATCTAAGAATTGCAATAAGTTGCTTATTGCTGCTGAGAGATATAGCTTAAAACCGAAAGACACGCAACTTTGATGCAAGCCAAACGTTATACAAGTATGGAGAGTGCTGCACTGTAATTTCATAGTCGGAAGTGTGATGTCAGAATACCCACAGAATAAGGTTACACAGAAAGTCACCAAGTGATATTATATTGCTTGTTACCTACCTGTATGCAGTCGGCAATGAGAATCTCGGAGCAAGCAGGAATACTACATCCGGGTCCTAATGTCCATTGCCATTTGTGGTACTACGTTCCTCACAGTTATGCACTGCAGAAATGCTGGCTAAGTGCAGTTATGTAGCAGGCCACTACTTTTAAGAGTGTAAAATTGCAGTCTCAAAAACTCCAGCAAAAACTTGCTGCCACAGTAAGTGGTTGCCGCCAAGAAGAAGCCAAGAATTTTTCTACCATAAAAATACCACAAAATCTCACAAAAGCAGTTTCAATTTTTCATAAGCTGTGTTTCTATTAGGTGATATGATGTATCTACATAGTATTGTAGATATGCTCTGTATTCATTTTTAAGGAAGGGTGAAAACATGCAAAAGGATACCCATTTCTATAGGCTGTGTAACTCAAACTGAAGTTTAAATGGGCTCAATTTAATTAAAGCAGACTGAATTGCAAAAGCCAGTATTTTCTCCAAGTCCAATAGAAAAAAGATGTTCGACATGGTCTAGACCATCTGGAAATGGGTCTTGCCACACCAAGGGCTTAATGATTTGAAAACCCTTTACTTCAGTAATCTAAGTCACCTGACTTGAAGACTCCAGAGCCACAGAACCATAGGGACAGACCGAAGGAACACATGACAAACCCTTAAAACCACCTCCCCCACCAACTTAACTGGGTATCAATTTTTAAAAATTCTTACATTTGTCAGCTTAAGATTGTGACTTTAAAAAGGTTTTGAAATAAAATTTGTTAGAAGCTACTTTATGCCTGTTTAACACATGCAACTCAAAGCAGGACTTGATTTTGTTTTTAAAAGTCTGCTTATGTAGCTACAACACTGGTTACACTGTTTAACAAAACTATTTCCATGTTGTAGAAGCCACTGAATCTTTCAGTATATGCATGCTAAACATAGTTTAGCAAGCGGTCTATTTAAGACCTAGCAACAGCTTACATACAAACAGGGGTACCAAAAAGAAAACCTCTGGAAGGTAATGACATCAGATTCCTTCACTCTTCAAAGTTACAGTACTACAAAGGAAAGTATTTTAGGATATGTGCCAGCATCTCTTTAATAATGACATGTAATCTGAAAAATAAACTGAAAAAATTAATTTAATGTTTACGTTCAGAGTTCCCCACCTCAGACTTTCACCCACTGTGGGTGTCCAAAAGCACCCTTTTGAAAATATTTGAGTCCTTACTAAAAAAATTCATACAAAATTGAACTGCTGATTTCAAACTAAGAATCCCATACGGAATACCTCCAGACACATGCTCTCCAGTTTAAGAACTGTTGACCCAAGATTTCCTACATTTCAATTCATAGCAGTATAGTGTCAACCATCTTTAAAAGTTCTGGGAAAATGTGAACAGATTTGCCAAACCGGCTGAGTCTATTGCAACACTTAATATTTAGTCACACACCTGGTACCACCATTTCACAGCTTGCCAGTATTTTACATTTGAAGTTTGTCAGCATTTAAACAAGTGCTCACTTCTGAAGAGGGACTGTTTGTATTTCAAGATAATGAAACCTAGATACTGAAGTTTTATCCATATAGACACAGAATTTAGGATTAGCCAATGCTTAGCACAAATAGTGGGAAGACCTTCAACAATTAAAGCTATTCACAGAATGCTCAACATTTTGGGAGCCAGGTAAAAATACAGTCATACCAAGTAAGTCTACCAACTTTGCACAAGCAGGCTGATTATCCTGCCTTAACACCAAGGCATTTTGCACTGGGAAGCCATGCTCCCAGCTTGTCAGGTATAACCACGGTAATAGAGTAACTACATTAATATGAGAGTCCAGAATACCTTGAATTCTTATGGGGGGGTTTAATGAATTGGACAGCAACCTAAATTCATCAAATCTCCTGTCAATCTTAGAGGGGTTTATTCCTAATATATAGGATTAGCTACTGAACTCCTACTCTTGCCTTCCAACTGTATCAAAATATGACTATCAGAATTGGGGTTCTGATACCAGGAGAACCCCTCAGTGAGTTAAGCCAACTTGAATACGTGGCACATGACCTGGCACATTGTCAGCAGAGGCTCCAAATGAAAAGGAATGCTAAGATAGGGCATGACTCAAAAAAGAAGCTGAGAATCCCCTGCTACAGTATAAGAAGTTATTTATTTATCTGAATTTAATATGCTGTATTTTAGGATTTACATATACCACAAGATCTAAGATGACTTGAGTTTTTACAGACCCCTGACATTTATCCTGGTTGATTCCTGAACTCTAGAATTAGTCCTCTCAAATTAGCATTCGGACTAAAGTCAGAGTGTAAATTTAAAAAATTCTCCGTTTCACTGAAATACTACTTCCTGGTCTTCTTGCCAAGCAATTTCAGTTACGTATTAAATATTGAACCAGCAAATCCTGCATCTCAGACAACTTACATATAAAAACATTGTCACGGTAACAGTCCTTTAATTGGGAAGTCTGTCAATCCAAGCCATTCTGTGGATTTTAAAAAGTGACCTTTTCAACTTCTGCTTCAAGTCTTTACAAGATTTCAAGCAGTGGCTGCCAAAGAGATCTCTGCCACCATCCCACCCCCTCAATTGTTAAAATCCAAAGCTCATTACATGACTGCAGCATCATTTGCAGTTTTGCTCCCATTACTTCATCTTACAATGCTTGCAAAAATTGCCATTTATTTCCTTACTGCAGTATAATGAACCCTCTGAAAAATCAGTATCCATTTGAAGATCAATTATGAGACTAATTCTTTGACTCAAACTTAAAGCTTGAGCCATAATGGGAGGCCTCCCCCTTAACTACTTTTCCACATCCTGGTCTAAATCAGACCTCTAATCCAAGTCTCATTTGTTTTATGTTGAACGCTATGGCATTTAGCCTCATTTAAAACCATGAATGGCAAGTTTAAGATCAGAATAGTAACTACATTTAGTATTCTATTTATTTGAAGCACAGTAAAAAAAAGTTGGTACACTGCCATCAAGTTAGGGATGTTATACATCAAAAAAACAGCTAATTTTTTTGAAACACTGCATTACATAATTAAATTTTACTCATCCAAACAGACCACTTACAAATTTTAGGTCAATAGTTTCTAACATCCATAAAAATGTAGCTTTCTTACTAAAATGCAAGAATTAAAAAGTTGGTGTCTAAACAAGGCAGACAAAAACAAACTGGAATGAAACTCTACTGGTCACATCTAAAATCGGGGCTTTTTGTTTGGGCCTTCATATTCTTCTCTCCCTCTACCATATCCTGCTGGTGTTCCAGGCCCCATTCCTCTAGGACCCTGAGCACCCACAGGTCCCGCACCTCCCTGCCCAAAGCGTTCAGCACGCTATTGGAACAATATTAACAGTTCATTATATGTAGTTGATGTCCATGTGTGTTAAGAATATATTTTTAGAAGGTTCCGTAGTCAAGGTTCGTCGATACAATCACCATTGAGCCGATCCACAGGTACCGGGAACATAGAAAGGAAAAAAGGGTAATTTAAAAATTAGTTTCTTGTAATACATGCCTTGAGGTATGTTCCCAACTTGATGCATTCTCATACATCTGTTACAAAGAACAGATACTCCCTGCAGTGCTAGAAATGTAAGCATTAGTGCAGATGTGAATTAACACCCTTTCTAAAATAAGCTGTAGCAGTTCTCAACCAAGTTTACACAAATAGCTTGTAAACTCTCACCTTTATTTCAGTACAAGTTGTTTACATCAAGTTTTCCAAATAAGCCTAACCAGAAAATGCAGATTTAGTTCACTGAAGTATGAGCTGACATTAATAAAATGTCATTATAAAGTGGATGCCTACTCACCAGTTAATGGCATGTGCTGCATTAGAGACCATGTGCTTTTCAAGATGGGTTTAAGACTACATCTGCTGACTAAACTGCAGAAGCCTTTAGTAAAACAAACAACTGTAATACAGTGCTACTGAATTACAAGAATGAAAAATATGAAAAGCTAATAAAGCAGTGATTTACCTAACCAACACAATTGCTTGATTAAAATACCTTTATATAACCTCATTTTAGGTCTACTGCTACATAACCAAATTTAAAATGGGTTCACAGAACTATATTTTAACCAGTGTTTCAAGTTTACTCTGTGTATTTCACAGGTGCACCCATTAAAGCCGCCTTCCCCCCGCCCTCATCACAAGCTCTTGGAAAGTCCACTAAGACTTTACAATTATTGAAAGGCTTCATGGACTGTCTCCCATTGAGTTGTAAACACTGAATTAAGACTGCAATAAAGCAGAAACTTCACATCTAGTACATCTAGCTGCACATATTTCTACCAAGCTTCGAGATAAATAAGTAGGTATGGCTGGCAGCAGATCTCTGAAAGTTACATAAGTACTGTGAAGTCAAAGATAGCTCCCAACTTCCATTTCAAAGGAGTTTCACTACTCCCTAACAGCTATAATTTCAGTCTACTAAACTAAGTTTGTAAATACAGTTCATGGATTCAGACGTTTCTCCGGTTATGGTATAGAATTGTTTGAAAGTTACTTCAACCTTTCTGCAGAAGGAATTTTCAGAAAATAAGGAGTTTCTAGCGTCTTCGTAATTTGTCTTCTTTACAGAGTTTGACACCAGCTAAAATCTAATTGCAACTCTTAATTGGGATGGCTCTGTGCCACACAGTGCAATGTCCTAGGGAACTTTAGGCACTTAATCTAAACAGAAAATAGGTCTGGATGGTATCAAGTTGTTTTAAAATATTACGCAAGTTCAACATGCACCTGTACCCAAGATATTTTAGAGTAAGGAAGGAAAAAAGGTACACAGCATTCACCACGGACTACCTAACTAGACACTTATGAGTTGCTTAAAAATGTTGAAAGTAGATAGATGCATTAAGGTCATCAGCATCATCTACTGAATCAATGCTTTGCAAAGTTAGCTACCCGAAGTATCGTTTCCATAAAAGCAGAAGATACCTGGCAAGCTACTATGGTAGCACACCATATTAAGTCAGAGACCTGAGTACAGTCTAACCTTAAACCCACCCAGAAAATTTTCTTCTGCATTTTGTGCCACAGAGGGTATGCACCCTCGACAGAGGGTGGAAGCATACTATATCAACCACTTGACCCAGAATAGACTTCCATCCTATTAAAGCATTTCTGTCGGCACTGCTCCAGTGGGATAGCACCAAGCAGACTCCAACCCCATGCACACATTTAGTGTGCCAAAAATAGTTGAAACATACCTCTAAATGTGAGGTATGCAATAGTTTAAGAACCTGCATCTACTACAATCATGCCCAGTAAGTGGGAACCAACAAGTTATCATTCCTTTGTCAGATAGTCACAAAATGACTACAGTCAGGGAGTGCAGGGAATATTTAAACATGCCTACAACAACTGCATTTCTGCTCTTCTGATGTTATGGCAAATATTAGCGCACAGAATATGGCATACCATGTGCCATTTGATTACTCAAGTTGACAGTGATGAGTAATCTGTTGCATAAACATACGTGAGTACAGATTTGCATTTTGCAATGTATCGGTGCAAGGGTGCACTGATTTTGTAACTAGACTTGGAAGGACCAGATTTTAATTGATGTCAGTAAGAATAAAACCATGTAGCACCTGTGGATATTTGATGAAATTATGAAGTAGTTTAAGACAAAATTAATAACCAAGCTATGTGGTTTGTCCTATCAGTTTGTTGTAAATTTCTACAGTAATTATATCTTGATAAATAATCCTTACATTTGTTACAGCAAAAATTCAAACTCTTGGAAATAAATCCAGTATTTTAAATAAAAAATCATGATAAAAATCCTTCCAAGTCTAAATATAATGCAGGTACTCAAAACCCAACCAGTAACAGGGTTAATGACAAATATGCTTAATAGCACATTTGAATTTGCTTACAGACACAACTTCTATTTAAAGGACCATACTTGTAAGAACTAAGTTATTACTGTACATACTGCCAGACTAGTCTTCAATATTGCTACTGCATACACTGACCAAAAAAGCAGTCAGTACTTAATGAGATTTAAACCATCTACCACTTAAACTGGTAGAGTTAAGAATTTCCCACCTTAATTTCCCCTGTACTAAAAGAAAGCCACCACAGGATACATTACCATGTCACTTCCCATCATAGAACCACTCATGGCTGGCTGGCCAACACCAGGACTGGCTTCGTAACCTATGCCGGCACCACCACCCATAGGTGGGAATTTCTGAGCTGCTGCACCATATGGATCTGAGAAAGAAAAATACATAATCATATTCTGACAAGTTATATGTTAACTATCTAAAGGATTGTTAAATATCTTTACCTCCCATGTTCATTGTGCTGGCACCACCCATTCTCATGTCTCTCTCTCTCTGCAAAGGGAAAAACAGAACATCGAGTCAGTGCTGTTCCCCTTTAATACTGGGCCATTTAACAGTATCTGGTCACCTATTGAAACTTTAGCATTAGTTACTTTAAACTATTATTTGAAACAGAAATCTAAGAAAATCCCAGTAGCTTGTCAAATTAATTTACTTTTCCATAACGCACAAGTTGTTTGAAATACTTACTGGATCCATGTAACCCATTCTACTGTAGTTCTCTTCCCTCTGTCTTCTCATCTGTTCTTCCATCTCACGCTGGCGAATCATCATTTCCTCTTCCCGTCTACGACGTTCTTCCTCCTGCCTGATAAATTAGGTGTTATTATCCCTCAAAAGCACAATATTGACATCCTTAACAATTACATAACCAACATGAGAGCAGTTAGCATCTTAAAATGTGCATTTGTTTAGTGAACAAAAAGTTTAAGTTATTCAACTTCAGTGAGAGTTGAAAAAAATTAACTATGTAATACTAACAGGAGCTGAAGATAGAGATGTATAATCCCATTTAAAAAAGTTCACTGATTAAATGGCATTACATTTAAACCAGAATCCCACAGGTGGCTTCCCGGACTGCTCAGATCAAGCCTGCTGCTCTGAACACTGGGGCTGCTCCAGCACAACAGGCCACTAGAACCTGGTTAACCCTTTATGCCCCTAGTTGCCGGACATCACTAAGAATAGCTACAAAACTCAAATTTCTCAAGATGTCTTAAGTAAAAAAAAGTATTTTACCAAGATAAATTAGTTTTAACAAACCTCAACTTGAGAATTGTATTAGCACATGCATAAGCTGCTAATCTGCACAAAGAATATTGTTTTACAGTAGTTAAATTTAGTTAGCATCAAGCTCTTGTTTATTAACCCCAGAACTACCTCAGCTGAATTTCCTTGCGTTTCTGCATTTCCTGATTATGAAGTTCCTCCATACGCCTCAATTCTTCCTGACGCCTCATAAGATCTGAAAAAATAAGTTTGTCAATTCCCCTTTTCTTCCCACCCTTTTCTTTTACAAGTTTTTTTTCCCCTCGCAAAACATTCTCACTTCAACCACTGCCATTTAAGTTCTACACAGCACAAAACTTACGCAGACAGCACTTTTTTTTACAACAATTATAAGGCTTGTCTCTACTACACAGTGGATCAAGGATGCAGCCATCAATCCACTAGTAGTTGAAGCAGACATGAACAGCAAGCACTCTTATGCCACTAAGTGGAGTCAACAGGAGAACATCAGCAGATCTTTACTGCATGGAAGGCCCTATGGTAAGTAGTCTTATCTTAGTGAAACGAAGCACTTTTAAAGACTAACAAGTTTAGTAGGTCATGAGCTTTCATAGGGCAGACCCACTTCACTTTCAGAGTATGATCTGAATAGGCATGACCACCATTTTATAACAGGGAAAGGTAAAAAAATTACAAACTGACAATTCAGCTACATAGAACAAAAGGTGGGGGGTAAGGGGGGGGAACTACAAGGAAGGAGAAAATTGCTTACTGTAAGTCAATTAAGTGGCTAATCTGGGGTCACTATGAATATCAAAAGGTGGGGGGAAGCTGTCTGTCATGTGTAAGGTAATTATCTTAATTAAGGCCTGTTCACAACATGTTGAGCATAAATAAAAGTTCTGAGGTCTCCCTCTAATCTGGTATTAAGTCTCTTTGTTGTAAGATGTGTATTGTCAGGTCTTTAAGAGAATGACCAATTTGATTGAATGGATTGCTTGATTTACAGGAGTATGAGCCCTTGATCAACATGAAGGCCCATATTCCTGTACATCCAGCAATGTGATATATGCCATTATGTGCCAACAATGCCCCTCTGCAATGTATATTGGACAAACTGGTCAGTCACTTTTCCAAAGAATTAATGCTTACAGATCAGACATCAGAAATTGCCACATGCACATGTGTCAGCCAGCATTTCAATCAAATTGGTCATTCTCTTAAAGACCTGATAGCACAGGTCTTACAACAAAGACTTCAACATCAGATTATAGAGGGAGACTGTAGAATTTATTTATGCTACAATTCAACATGTTGCAAAGGAGACTTAATCAAGATAATCCACTTAATTAAGATAATCCACTTAATTGACTTAAAATAAGCAATTTCCTCCTTCCTTGTAGTTCCCCTCCTCATCCCCCACCTTTTGTTCTATGTAGCTGAATTGTCAGTTTGTAGACCAGGCTTTAGTCACTCCCTTTTAAATAACACCTGGCCAAACGGAACCAAAATACAAAGCCAGTCAACTTTGTAGGAAACTCTTCACAGCATCCAGATATCAGTTTAATAGAGCTACAATATAACTATGTAAATCCAACGAAAAGTCCTGTGGCACCTTATAGACTAACATTTATTGGCACATAAGCTTTCATGGGTAAAGACCCACTTCATCAGATGCATGTAATGCAAATTCCCATGTCTACCTCTCTTGATATGTAAATCCAGACTCCACAAAGCCAGTTTGTACTCCGCTACTATGCCAAAAAAGTTTACAGGGAGCACAAAACAAAATAATGAAAATGTAAACATCCGCACGACTGATAGCATGCACAAAACCAGAAAAACTGCAATAGAAAAATTAGTGCCAGTTACCTTGACGCAAGAGATTTGCCTGATGTTCATGATAGGCATCTTCCATTTCACTTTCAAGCTTGTCCTTAGCATCTTTCATATTTTTCTCCACCTGATCTCTCTGCTGTTTTTCCATTTCATCTAAAGATTTCCACCTCTGTGAATATTCAAATTCAAAACTGCCATGCTGAGCAAAGCGGGGAGGAGTTTCTCTCTCCCTACAAATGGAATAGAAAATATTCACTAATTCTGAATTTAGAAGACAGACTAGACAAACAGGTTCACTAATGCTTAATTCAAAATTAGCCAGTTTCTTCCTAAATCACAGCATCTTCAAATAAATTCAAATTATGATGAACAATGTTTTAAAGACTTAGAAAACTATTGCTGCTCACATTACTGTCTTCTAATCTCTAGAAAATCCCAGTAACAGGCATAGTAATTTCTGTACAGAAAAAATTTAAAAAGCATATTAGAAAAAAACCCTCGTGATCGTTTAAACCAAGGATTCTGCCCATGAAGAAAAGGGACGAGTTGGACTGAGAAAAAGTCCCCTTGAAAAGTCAAATGATAACCACACCTTCAACACTGCAATTCTCTGAAGATCTTTGTTAAGCTTCACTGAAGTGTTTCAGACCATTAATATTAAAACATTTAATTAAAATAACCTAATTTTGAAATCTGTATGTGAAAAGGGCAAGTAATGTTTCTATATTACTTGTTAAACAGTAAGCCGTTTTCATAGTGATTTTTAAGGTAACGTTCTTTTAGTGAATAAATAATCTGCAAGACATGATCAAATTCAATGTTGGTTTAGCATTTGCTCTGCAACCATCATGTATTATAAAGAGCATGTACTGTAAAATATCTGAGATTAATACATCTTATTTTATGCATCGAAGACAAAGTATGCTCCTACTTTTGATACATTGGATTCTTCTGAGCAAGCTTTTCTGGAAGACCATCTTCATCATCCAGTTGTTCAAGCGGTTCCACAATAACTGGCCTAGGAGTACTAAAACAAAACAAAATCACATTTTCCCTAGTATTAATACTTTAGTTTTTAGAGAAAACATTTATAACCATAAGTACTTAATCTAACTTGTGAGAACATTAAGAAACTAAATGTTTACCTGTACATACATTTACATAAGAATTTTTATATAGTCAAACAGCTTACGTGGTCAACAAGAATACACCTTCGCTGCACCGTTCAAATGCTTTTCTTGCAGCCGGCTTAGATGCAAATTCAACAATGCCTTTTCCTGTTGATCTGCCACGATCATCTACAATCACAACAGCTCTTTCAATTGGACCGAACTGTGAAAAAGCTTCCTCCAGTAACTCATTGGACACATAGGGCGAAAGATTACGCACAGAAAGAGCAGCAGCATGTGTAGCAAAACGAACACGAAGCTGTCGGCCTCTCATAGGAATATCATCAAGTTCTGCCTTTGCAATTTCAGCCAGTGCTCTGGATTCCTGAAAAAGTTTCAGAGCCAGTTTCAATAATTGCATTTCTATATCTTAGCTAAACAACAAATTAAAATGGCTAGTGTAGGAGAACCCACCAATTTAATGAATCCAAATCCTTTCCCCTTGTTGATAAAAACCTCTCCAGGCTCCCCATATTTAGCAAATAATCTTTTGAATTCTTCATCTGTAATATCAGCAGGCAAGTTGCCCACAAAGAGACGGCAACGTTGGGTATAAGTCTTCTCTCCAGGTCGCCTCAGAAGAGACAGATTTGCTTTAAAGCCCTAGAAAAAAAAACATTCAAAGACATTTAGTTTTTATACCACCCTGTTCATGACTTGCCAGTTCCCACGTTGGCATTAGCCCCCTTGAACAGATTAAGTTACTAATGGGGCCATACAGCCTGGGCAGCCCCCAGCCCACAACAGTAATTCCCTGTATCCTGGCGCTTGTGCGGCTGCTCAGGGGAAGTCAAACGCCATAGCTAGGTTTGCGCTTGTATTAGTGGTGCACATTCACACATGATGGGGCACAAAATTTATTCCACACACGGGCGAGATTAGAGCACACCCGTAGGCCTAGAAAAAAACCCCGCCCAATTGGGACCACGCCACCCTGCCTACTGGCAGCAACAGCTCCTCCAGACCCATGGCCTT